GGAGCCGTGGCTTTGGGGTGGTCTCCCGGGGCAGCCAGACCCCAGGGCGAGTTTGGGACGGGATTTGGGGCGCATCGGCCAAGGCCGTGACCCCAGCCCCTCCCATTGCCTTCGCCTCCCCGAGCCCCCACGCTCCTGCCAGGCTGGGCAAGAGCAGCCGAACAGCCACGGTGACAGGGGACGCTGGGGCGAGCACCCCGGGGAAGGCGTTTTGGCCCCACGGGGCACCGGTGCTCGCAGACCATGGGGCAGAACGGAGGTGTGGGGCTCCTGGCAGAGCTCAGGGGAGGTGAGACCTCCGGGGACCCCCGAGGGAGGTGACCCCCGAGGGAGGTGATGATGGCGGCTTGTGCAAGCTGGGCTCACCCTGCGCCTTCCCAGCACTGCTTCTCTCACACACGCCCCATGCCACCCCGAAGGGTGCTGGTGTCGGAGAGGGTCAGGTCTCCTGGTAGGGGGTGGGTGGGAAGCGCTCGGGGCACACAGGAGCAACGGCACCTTTTCACCCATCCTGCTCGCCGATGCTTTTGGGAGGGGAGGCTGCCAGCAGCCAGCCACTGGCAGGAGCCTTCCCATCGCACCGTGGCCATCGGGCTGGACTTGGCTCTGCCCTGCCAGGTGCTTCACTTCCCCAGATGTTCTCCAGATGTTCTCATGGGGCTGTCCTCCCCCAGGCACCGTGCCAACCCAGCTGAGCAGCTGTGGGGATGGCCTCAGCCCTGTTCGCAGCATCCCTCAGGGCTCACTGCAGGGTGGGCGATGGTTTGCCCTCTTGGGAGTGCTTTGCCTGAAGGTGCCTTTCATCTGGTGGGTCCTGCCAACTGTCCCAGAAGAGCCGGACACCAAGGAGCCGGGCTCCCGGTCCTGACGGACCCCTGTGCTGGGCTCAGCCTGCTGCCAATGGGCTCCATCAATAAACCATGGGCCTGCAGCCTCTTTCCTGATGGAGGAAACCCTGGGTCTCGCAAAAGCATTCACTGCCTGAAATAAGGCAGGGATTCTTCCTTGGCCTCTTCCCCGGCCTCTTCCCCAAACTCCTTCAAATTGAGGGGTCAGGTAGGAGGTGCCCTGAGGCAGCTGGGGGCTCACCACAGGTAGGCAGCACCTGGGGACAGGCACTTTGGGATGCGGAGGAGGAGGTCCACATGCATCTCACCACCCCACCCCATTACACCCTGTGCCACACTGCTGCCAGCATCCTCCTGGGCATCACTGCCAGCTCCGGCTGCTTGCCAGAGGGCTCCTCCTGCCACGGGCATCCCCTGTCTGGGAGCACCACAGGGGCATCGAGGGGTGCCCTGCTCCTGCCCAGGGAGAGCAGCCTCAGTACTGGCTGCAGGGGGCTGCAGGGGGGGCAGCACTCTCTGACATCACCCTCCCACCCCATGTGCCCCCACGAGCACCCTCCTCTGCTGGGCTGCGGGTGAGCCCCGGGACCCACTGTGGCACCGGCAGCTTCCCATGCCAGAGCAGCCCGAGGTTTCTGGGCTGTCAGGGGTCTCTTTTTCCCATGGCCCCTGAAACACTGGCCCTGCGGGATTTCAGCAGTTGGCTTCAAATGGGAAACAAATCTCCCGTGGTTTGGGAAAAGACAACCGATCTCCGAGGGGACCGCATCTCCTGCCAAAAAAAGGCCTGCCTGCTGCAAAAGCCTTTGATTCCCCTGCGCCTCTGTGCTTTCTGCAGAGGGAGTCAGCAAACCTGGCTCTTACTTTTCCTGAAATCTCTGAATTTAGTATACAGGGAAGGAAGGGGCGGTGGTGAGAGAACAGACTCTAAAGCACCGCGGCTGCCAGAGCCTGCCCTGTGCATCGCTGCGGGAGGATGAAGCCAGTGGCGTGTCCCTGCTCCGGCCCCGCTGCCATGGGCAGCACTGGGGGCAGCAGCCAGGGTGGGTGGGCTCCAGGGGGATGGGGATTAAAATACAGCAGTGGCTGGGTGCTGGGTGCTGCAGGCACAGTGGGCTCATGGCCGGCTGCTTTTGGCAGTGCTCTTGGCTGGAGGCTGGGAGCTGTCAGCACCCCTGATGCTGCTGCGTGGGTCGGGGGCTTGGCTCGGAGCTGGCGTGGGCTCTATCCACCCAGCCTGGGCTCCCTGCCCTGGGTGACATCCCTGCCCCAGGTGACCTCCCTGGCTCCTTCCCCCAGCCCTGGATGTTTTAGGGGCTGGCAAGCTGCCCTCCGGCAGGCTGCTCTGCCCGGTGCTGCTGCGGGAGCCAGCTCTGTGCCCCCCCTCCCCATGCTGGTGCATCCCGGGGACTGCTGTGGGGGGACAAGTCCCTGCACCCCTGCTTGTCCCCTGGGATCTGTGTCACTTGCAGGTGCCCTGGGGGTCCCGGGTCACTGCGGGAGCTGTTGCATCCACTCAGCTCGCCCTTCTGTGTGGAGGCTTCTTCTGAAGGGCACCCCGAGTCAGGGGGCACTGAGGTGGGGGGCACAGGCTGGCTCATGCCCTTGCTCACCTGTGCAGCCCTGGCAGTGCCCTTGGGGACAGTCCCTGTCTCGCCTTGCAGCCCACAGACCCAGCGGCTTTTCTCTTCACTTTTCCAGGTGCCGAGAGCTCTGCTGGGGTGGCACGACCCCCCTCCCGCTGACACCACGCCGTGCCACCCCCGCCACCCGATGCCTGGGGACTGCCTGCCCTCACCTTGACGGGTGGCAGCAGGTGACACCGGGTGGCACGGGTCCCCCATCCAGCACCAGCACACCCCATGGCGGTCCCCCCCCTCTTGTGGCTGATGCGCCTGGCCACCTGCCTGGCCGCCGGGCATGGCATGGCTGGGAAGAAGGAGATCAGCATGGACGGGGACCTGGTGATTGGGGGCCTCTTCCCTGTCCATGAGAAAGGAGTGGGGAGTGAAGACTGTGGCAAGATTAATGAGCACCGGGGCATCCAGCGCCTGGAGGCCATGCTCTTCGCCCTGGACGAGATCAACAAGGATGGGAGCATCCTGCCGGGGGTGAAGCTGGGTGCCCACATCCTCGACACCTGCTCCAAGGACACCTATGCCCTCGAGCAATCCCTCGACTTTGTCCGCGCCTCCCTCACCAGGGTGGATGGCTCCGAGCACATCTGCCCTGACGGCTCCTACGCTGTCCATGATGACGTGCCCACTGCCATCACCGGCGTCATCGGGGGCTCCTACAGCGATGTTTCCATCCAGGTACGCCCCAAGGCAAGAGGGGCTCGGATGGGGCTGGGGGGTCTGCAGAAATGGCGGGCGGGGGTGTAAAACCCCAGCAGCAGTGCAATAATGCCGCTGCCAGTGTGGCACAGGGATGCTCTTGTATCCCTTGCGGTGATGCTGTGCCCCTTTCTGCAACAGGGAGGGAACACCAGCCTGGCAACTGAGAGAGCCATCTCTCTGCTACTGTGGGGGGGCTGCAACCCTGATGGTGGCTGGGGTCCCCTCAGGGGCTGCAAGAAGCACCCCCACCTGCCATAAGCCATGGGAGCCAAGCCACTGTATCCGTCCCACGTGGGGATGGGGCTTTATTCCCCTCCTGGGGTTATAGCAGCAAGCACAGCTCCTGAGCCCAGAATGATCTCGATGCTCAGGTCCACGCCGTCCTTGGTGCCACCATGCTGCCGCATCCCTCGCTGCCGCCAGTGGGCCTGGATGGTGCGAGCTGCCTCCTGGCAACGCCGGTACCGGTCCCTGGCCTGCCACATCCTGGCATGGGCTTGGAGGAGGACGCTGGCCCTCTCCCACCTGACGTATGCTGCCAGAGCCTGCAGGCGCTGCTCCTCCCGCAGACGGGCGACAGCACGATGCCACCAGGCCTGGATGCAGCAGGCACTGCGAGTGGCCACCTCCAGTGCCCGGCGGACCAGCTGCCCCCGCCACCAGGCCTGGATGGCCACAGCCGCGCCATGGCTGTCCCAGTCCCTCCTGGCCAGCGTAGCGCTGGCGGGGGCAGCTGCTGCGCTGCCCAGGTATCCAGTGGGTGGCTGTCCCCGGGGGCTGCTGTGGTGCGGGAGCGGGGTTTGGCTCACCTGCAGCCCCGTGGATCCTGTCCCCCATAGGATGGGTGGGCGGCCAGGTGCAGGGACCCCCGCTGGCATGGTGGTGACACTCCTGATGTCAGAGACACCCTCTGGCATGGCAGTGATGCTCCTGATGTCAGAATGGCACTAGGGACACGGCGGTGGGGATGTGAGGACACTGCTCCCGGCAGGCAGAGCTGCCCAGCACGAGGGAGCACTGTCCCCTCTGCCCCCCCTAAACCCAGCCCATGAGGAGCAGCCAGCTGTGAAGGGGCACCCACCTCCACGGGGCTCAGATGTAGGGCTGCCTGGCTGCAGCAGGGTGGGCACAGGGGCCACTGCCCCCATGTCCCCAGTGATCCCATGGGAACAGGCACCTTGAGCCTCAGACCAGGCTGTCACCCTGGGTGGGGTGCAGCTCCCCAAAACCTGTGGCTCTGCAGACCCAGGGACTGGCTTAGGCAGGGAGAAGAGCATCCCCTGAGGATGCAGGCAGCCGGAGGGCCCAGCTGAGTCCTGGGGGCTGCCGGTGCCCCAGGCGCTCACTAAGATTTAACGAGTCCCCAGGGCGTATTGAATCCCATCCGCTGATCCCTGGGTCCCCACATCCCCCTGGCCGTGGGGTGGAGAAAGCTGGAGCCGGGTGATGGAGACAGCACCCTGGTCCAGCCCACGTGGGCGCTTGTCCCTTCCCTTGCTGGAGGACCCCGTGTGTCCCCATGGCCAGGGGTACCATCCCAAACCCGGGCAGGCAGGTGGTGGCACGGGCAGCCAGTGTGCCAGCTGGGGAGCAGGAGCAGCGCTGGGACAGCATGGCCGGCTGGCAGCTCCTGTTGTGCGGCGAGGACAGGCGGCGGCATTGCTGCGCTCGGGGGCCTTCTTGCCATTAGGGGACTTTGTTGTCAAGAACATTTGTCCATGTTAATTAAGCCGCATCTCTCTCCTGGGGAGCAGTGAGATGTGGGCAGGCTCACTGGCCCTGCCAGCGTGCCTGAGCCCCCCCTTGCTGCTCCAAGAACCTGGGTTTTTAACAGCCTCATTAGTGGGGTTTTTTCCCCTTTGAAGCTAACGAGAGCTTCTGCCGAGCGGCTGAAAGGTGCTGGTCCTGCTGGAGCTCCTGATGCGGGATGCGCAGGCGCTGGTCCCCAGGCCCAGCTCTGCAGCCCCCCCAGGCTAGGTTGGGGGGGCTCTGACCTGGCTCCCGGCCCCCAGAGCCCTTTCCCCCCATGCCGTGGAGCTGCCAGGTGCCCCGGCTTTCTCCTTGCCCATGAGCATCTCCCACAGGTCGCCTGCGGGGGAGTTTCTGCTTTTGCCATGAATCCATTTATCCCCTCCCCAGCCCAAAATTTCAGCGGGGAGTGCATGAAATACCAAAGAAAAATAAATGAGCATGTCTGAGGTCTCAGGTAACCTTGTGAATGCACTGTCCATCCATCTGTCCATCAACCAGGACCCTCCAGGTGTGTGGGGGGTGTTGCTCATCAGCCCCACGGTCGTGCTTGGGAACACCATGGTGTTGGGCAGAGGTCCTCTGGTGGGAACGTCCCTCGCCAGGCCACGTCTTCAGGCGCTCACCTCTCCTCCTCCACGCAGGTGGCCAACCTGCTGCGGCTCTTCCAGATTCCGCAGATCAGCTATGCCTCCACCAGCGCCAAGCTCAGTGACAAGTCCCGCTATGACTACTTCGCCCGCACCGTCCCACCAGACTTCTACCAAGCCAAAGCCATGGCGGAGATCCTCCGTTTTTTCAACTGGACCTACGTCTCCACCGTGGCCTCAGAGGGCGACTACGGGGAGACAGGGATCGAGGCCTTTGAGCAAGAAGCCCGCATGCGCAACATCTGCATCGCCACCTCAGAGAAGGTGGGGCGCTCCATGAACAAGAAGACCTACGATGGGGTGCTCCGGGCTCTGCTGCAGAAGCCCAATGCCAGAGTGGTTGTGCTGTTCACCCGAAGCGACCCTGTCCGGGAGCTGCTGGCAGCTGCCCAGAGAGCCAACGTGTCCTTCATGTGGGTGGCCAGTGATGGGTGGGGAGCCCTGGAGAGCGTGGTGGCTGGCAGTGAAGCAGTGGCGGAGGGAGCAATCACCATCGAGCTGGCAGCCTACCCCATTAAAGAGTTTGCTGCCTACTTCCGTAACCTCAACCCCTACAATAACAGCTGAAATCCCTGGTTTCGGGAGTTTTGGGAGCAGAAGTTCAAGTGCAGCTTCCACACGCAGGACTGTAGCCGGTACTCCCTCAAGACAGGCAAGTTTGAGCCAGAGTCCAAGATCACGTTTGTGGTCAATGCGGTCTATGCCATGGCCCACTCTCTCCACAGCATGCACCAGGCACTCTGCCCCAACACCACCAAGCTCTGCGACGCCATGAAACCCGTCAATGGCAAGAGGTTCTACAAGGACTTTATGCTCAATGTTAATTTTGATGGTGAGTCCAGAGATGGAGACAAGGTTCGGCTGCCTAACTGGAAAGGGATGGGTGGAGGGACGGGGAGGAGGAAGGAGACCCGTATTTGACCCAAAGCCCTCCGGTTCCTCCAGCCTGCGCACACCTGGGGACCCCTGTGCTATGGGCTGTGGTTGTCCCAAGATGCCAACAGCTCACCATCACCCTTGGGAGGCAATCTAGGCCTTCTGTCCCCAGTGTGGAGAAGCTGGTGACCAACTCCATCCTGCTAGAGCTGGGTGGGACCGGCCCCACAGGGGCCCCTCCAGGAACGTCAGGCCTTGGAGACCTCACTTGGAAGCACCATGATTTATTCACATTTCAGGGATTAAAGTGGAGGGAGAACCTTGATCAGGGACCTGCATAGTTGGGGATGAATTAGAAGTGTGTCTGTCCTCTGTGACTTGGGCTGAGCCCAGCTACCCAGGTGTCATTGAGAGCCATGGAGGCTGAAAAATCCCGCTCTGTCCCTGCAGAGCTGGCTGGGGCTGCCGAGCATTTAGGCATGTGGGGAGATATAGTTCTCAGCCGTTGCTTTCCTGCTCCTAATGTGTGCATAGGCAGCAATTATGAGAGTGAAGGCAGGCAACAGGTTGGACATTTGCTTGTGACCATGGTGGGATGTGACCCTTTGAAGGGGCCCTGCCTCCACGCCAGGAGCGAGCACTCTCCTGCCCCATGGCAGTCACCGTCTCCCCTTCTTCTCCCTCCAGCTCCGTTCAGGCCAGCAGACACCAAGAGTGTCGTTCGATTTGACCGCTACGGTGATGGCATCGGGCGCTACAACATCTTCAACTATCACCACATGGACGGGCGGTATCAGTATCAGAAGGTGGGCTACTGGGCTGAGGGGCTCATCCTCAACACCAGCCTCATCCCTTGGGCTGAGACCTCCATCCCTGTGTCCCAGTGCAGCGACCCCTGCAAGAAGAATGAGATAAAGAGCATGCAGCCCGGAGACATGTGCTGCTGGATCTGCATCCCCTGCCAGCCCTACAAGTACTTGCTGGATGAGTTCACCTGCATGGACTGCGGTCTCGGTTACTGGCCCAATGAGACCCTGAACGGCTGCTACGAGTTGCCCCAAGAGTATATCCGCTGGAAAGACGCCTGGGCCATTGGTCCCGTCACTATCTCTTGCCTGGGTTTTCTCTCCACCCTCTTTGTTTTTGGAGTCTTTGTGAAGAACAATGACACCCCCATCGTGAAGGCCTCAGGCCGGGAGCTCTGCTACATTCTCCTGAGCGAGGTCCTTGTGTGCTACAGCATGACCTTCATCTTCATCGCAAAGCCTTCCACCGAGGTGTGCACGCTCCGGCGTCTGGGGCTGGGCACGTCCTTTGCCGTCTGCTATTCGGCCCTCTTGACCAAGACGAATCGCATCGCCAGGATCTTCAGCGGGGTGAAGGAGGGGGTCCAGCGCCCCCGGTTCATAAGCCCCACATCACAGGTGGTCATCTGCATGGCCCTTATCTCTTGCCAGCTGATCATCGTCATCATCTGGCTGCTGGTGGAGACCCCCGGCACAGGCAAGGAGACGGAGCCTGACAAGAGGTACATCGTCACCCTCAAGTGCAACAACCGCGATTCCAACATGCTCATTTCACTCACCTACAATGTCCTCTTGATCGTCCTCTGCACGGTCTATGCCTTCAAGACACGGAAATGCCCCGAAAACTTCAACGAGGCCAAGTTCATTGGGTTCACCATGTACACGACCTGCATCATCTGGCTGGCCTTCCTGCCCATCTTCTATGTGACCTCCAGCGACTACCGAGTAAGAGCCTGAGTTTTGGGGGGACTCTAAAAGGGCTTGATCTGAGCGGTCCTGGTGACTTGGGCCCCGCAGGGTTTGTGGCTAGGAGCTGCGTGGGCCTGGGCAAGGGTCTTCGGCCATGGACCTGGTGATGGTCACCTCTGCATTGGGGCGTTCGTTACCGGGTGAAGCGTGGCTGAGGGGGTAACGAGTCCTGGGGAGAAGGACTGCCCTTGGCAGACTGTTTGCTAGGGTGAGGATGGGAAACGCCCCCGAGACCTCCAGAGACCCCCTCTGACCTGACTGCAGAGGAGTGCTTGCCACCCTTCAGCCCCAGCGCAGGAATGACAACCCCAGGGCCCGCCTG